CCCCAAAACCCCAAAACCCCAAAACCCCAAAACCCCAAAACCCCAAAACCCCGATGGTGATTATTAGAGTGGAAATATAATTAATTCTAATTCCAAATGGAGGATTCTGGATCTAGTAAAGACTCTAAGGAGCTTAACGACAGCCAAGACACTGACCCATCCACAGTAGCCACTGATGTCGAGGCTTTGAAGATGGAAACTGACGACCAAGAGAAAATAGAACAAGCTGAAGAATTTAAGAAGCAGGGTAACGAAGCTTTCCAAGATTCAAGGTACCAAGAAGCTTATGATCTTTATACAAAGGCCGCTGATCTTTGTGTAGGAGGGAAGAAGCAAGCAGTCTATTTCTCTAACAGAGCTTTTGCAAGCATTAGGCTTGAAAACTACGGAATTGCAGTTGTTGATGCCAAAGCAGCTTTGGATATTGACCCTAAATTTGTAAAGGCATATTACAGAAGAGGTTCCGCGTTATTTGCCCTTGGGAAATATAAGGAATCAGTGAGAGATTTCCTCAAAGTATGCAAGATGTTCCCAAAGAGTAAAGAAGCAAGGACCAAGTATGCTGTTGCAAAGAAGGCCAAGGTGGAAATGGAGTTTGCCAGCTGCATTGCAGTGGAAGAAGTCAAGATCGAAATTGATCCTGAAGATATTATAGTGGAAGAGAGCTATAGTGGACCTGTTATCACTAGTAGAGAAGAAATTAATGTTGAGTGGGTACTCGCCCTTATGCAGCACTTCAAAGAAGAGAAGAAACTTCATAAGAAATACGTAGTCATGCTGATCAACTTCCTCATGGACTCTACAAAAGAGCAGGATGCTTTAGTCGATATTGAAGTTCCAGAAGACGGTGACATTACAATTTGTGGGGATACTCACGGTCAGTACTATGATTTGATGAACATTTTTGAAAAGAATGGGTATCCTTCAGAGACCAATCCTTATCTCTACAACGGAGACTTCGTCGACAGAGGAAGTTTCTCGGTAGAAGTTATGCTTACCTTGATTGCTTGGAAGATAGTCTTCCCTAATCATGTTCATTTGACAAGAGGAAATCACGAGACTAAGAACATGAATAAAATGTATGGGTTTGAGGGAGAAGTCAAAGCCAAATATGACATGAAGTTAATGGAGTTGTTCTCATACTCTTTCTGGTACCTTCCTCTATGATTCTTAATCAACAAGAAAGTTTTGGTGATGCATGGAGGCCTCTTCTCTAAAGATGGCGTTAAGATTGAGGATCTGAGAAAGATTGATAGGTTCAGAGAACCCCCGGATTCAGGACTCATGTGTGAACTCCTTTGGTCTGATCCTTGTGATCAGAATGGTAGATATCCAAGTAAGAGAGGAGTTGGATGACTATTTGGACCAGATGTCTCTGAAAAGTTCTGTGAAGATAATGGATTAGATTATGTTGTGAGATCACATGAAGTAAAAATGGAAGGATATGAATTCCAGAAGGGAGGTAAAGTTATCACAATTTTCAGTGCTCCTAACTACTGTGACCAGTCCAAAAACAAAGGCGCGTGGGTGAAGTTCAACGGCAAAGACATGAAGCCAGTGTTTACCCAATTTGATGCAGTGCCCCACCCAGACAAAAGATGTATGATGTATGCAAACCCCATGTTCTCCCAAGGCATGTGTTAATACCGTAATTTATTGAGGGTCCATCCACTTCAGTTTTTGGGGATTTTGAGGGGTTTTGGGGTTTTGGGGTTTTGGGGTTTTGGGGTTTTGGGG